TCACTCACATGGGGGTGGGGTCTGGGGGCCCTCTTGTTAAAGAGGGCTTTAAGATTCTGATAAGTCAGGGTTGTGGGAAGAGGCTCTTGTCCTCATCAACATGGCGACAAGGCACCCCGTATGTTGAGGGCATGTGGCCTGGTATGTTTCAGGAGGGGGGGTGCATTCTTGTCCTACCCCTTTCCTGGCCTGTCCAGCTTCAAGCTTGGATAAGGGTCTGGTATGGATTTAGGGGAACCCCATGCCTTTTTTTTATTTTGGCATGGGGTTCCCCTTAAAATCTATACCAGACCCAAAGAGCCTGGTATGGATTGGGTGGGATCCCCATGCTGTTTTTTTCTTAATTCATTTTAGCCAGCAATTCTTTAGTTTATGTTCAGCTGTCAGCTGGGAACCCCGCTACAGCAGATGACTCATCCGTTGTTAAGGATGCATCATCCTGCTTGCTGACCCACTTCTTGACAGCCAAGTATTCACTGGTTGTTAAGGAAGCCGGTGGGCTCCAGTTAGGAAAAAAAAGAGATGGAAAAAAGCTGCTAGGAGCATTTAGGATTTGTTAAAAGAGTTTATGAGCTTGTAGGAGCATTCAGCAATTTTTATTCCACCGGCAGAACACTCCCCAAAACAATTTGTTTTCTGCTCCTACTGCTGAAGCTTGAAAAAAAAAATGCTTCTAGCCTAAAATAGTGTGCATGGACCCATAGGATAACACGGTTTAGCTCCTAGGAGCAGAAAAAAACACTAGTGTGCATGGAGTCAAAACCTAAATCAGGAAATTGTGGCGCAATCTTCCTAACTGTGCAGAGGGATGTGGGTATATAAATTACATAGCTGGCTAAACAGAAGACCAATATTTTGACAGGTAAAACTGTTAACAACAATGCATTTCAGCTATGTATTTAGCGTTTTCCACTTTGACATTGTTTTATGTGACCACACACGAAGACAGTTCAACTTCAACAGTTTATTTAAATAAAATAATTTGTATTTTTTATTATTTTTTTTTTTGCTTGTAATCTTTGACTATACAAAGGAAAATGAATGTATTTCTTAACATGTTTTCATGCAGGTTGTATCACCTATTATTGCAGCATAATTCTGACATTCTAATGGCTGGTGAGCACAAGGCTAATGTGTCAAGAAACATTGCATAATACTTTAAGCTATGTTCCAAGTTTTACATTTTAATGATCAGTTCCAGTTTCAGTTACCCATTAATCTGTTTCTTATCATTGGCTGAACTTTTCAAAAATGTTAAATAATACTTTGTAAGGTTTAATAAATCTCAATCATATCTGGGTTATGTGTTTTTACAGTGCTTCAGAAATCCCTCAGTTCCGTTTGCCATATGATGTTGTCAGTTTTGAAATTGAGCTGATGAAGGACCTCGGTGTTAAGGTAATGATAATGATAACATAAATTAATCTGCCAGATGTAAACTGCTAAATACCATGTCCATTAGTAGCAAACAATTAAAAGCATCAGTAGGCTGCGGTAGAGAGATGCTTCCTATTGCTCAGGGCATTTGTCTGTCTGCTGTCTGAATGCCAGAAGTCTGGAAAAGGGCAATCGATAGTTCTCTCATTCTCCATGCCCACATGTGATTAATTGTCCGTTAAAAAAAAGAAACAAAACAAAGTTATGTTGCTTTAGGGGTTCCTTGCAATGACTAGAAGCTACAGAATTATCTAACCAAATCTGCTAAAACACAATCTTATATATGTGAATGTCAATAATGTTCTTTGTTTGTTGCTAAACATTTATATAATGCTTATTTCCTTCTACACATTTCCTAGTATCTGTATTATGTTGCATGAAACAGAGTTGGAAAAGTGCTTTTTTTTATGGTGTCATCAGTACCCTAATTTTAAAGTACAACTATGAATAGGTTATGGCTATTTAGACATTTACGTATTGAAATCAAGCAGTAAAAATGCTTTAAAATAAGTCCTAATTGATCTCTGTAGCTGCAACACCTTGTAGGTATTCATCCTAAAAGCATACAGCAAAAAGTATGTTCAATTTATCAGTTCAGCTCACTCTTCTTAGCAGTAAGTTGGCAGACTATCCACCTTCTGTTTTCTAATGTAAGGACAGAGCAGGTTCACTGAAGAGAAGGATAGAGAACAGACTGCTGGGTGATGAGACCCAACTTAACAAACATCACTGCCCCAAAGTGCCTGCAGCTATAAAGGTCATGGGTCTTCATCTAAAGTTCATTTACTCCTTGTTGAGAATATATAAAATATTTAAATGTTTATAGCCTGCCTCTGCCTTTCAGTTCCACCCATAAGTATTTATTTCAGTTTTGGATAGAATTTGGTTCTCATTTCAGAGCATGACCAAGAAAAATATAAGTAGAAGTGATCCAGGGCTGTGGATTTGTGTCATGTCAGTACAAGTACTGCCACATCAAGCATAAACCACAATTAAACTCTGTACTATTTTAATTAGACCCCGGGGAGGTTTATGCCATATTGTGCTAGTATGCACCACACATTAGAATATTTTGAAGGCTTACCTGCCAAACAGTGCCTTCCAGCAATGCATTGTCAACATTCTCTGCTGTCACAGGTGCTTTCATCTTCTTCCGGTCTTCCTTCTGGGTTCAGATTGTGCGGCTGGGACACAATGATGTCACTCCTATGCATGAGCAGGGGAGTCACATACTCATGACACAAAAGGGTGCCATAAATGTAGTGTATATTACTGCTGACAGTCAGGGAGAACCCGTTATGACAGAAGAGAGTAATTGGGTCTTTTCTGTCATAAAAACCATATCTCTCAGAATTTTTTATTTTTTGGAGTTCAATTCCACTTTAAGTACCTGCATATACATAACTGCTACAGTATACCTGCACTACACTGCCAGAACCAAAACTCAGCCCAGCGAAGAAAAAGTATTAATTACAATGGCTCCTGTTCATTAAAGTGACTGTGAGCTAAAAAAAAGTTTCACCTTCATAAAAGGACCTTAAATAGTCACTTGTTCTACTCTCTGCATTTCCAATTGCTGTGCTCAGTAGTCAGAAATCTACACTACTACTGGACACAGTAGGGACCTAGGGCTTGGTGGGAGGAACCACTGAGCACAAAGAGATACTATAAGTCTTACACTCCTGGTAATGTCTGTTTCTGAAGATTCTTAGGAAAAAGATTTATATTCTTTTGTAGAAGTAATTAACATAATAATTAAAAGGAATGGTGAGTCTTGATTGAAACTGCCAGGTTAGGATTTAAATGTTTGCCCCACTACCAAAGCTGAAAAGCACTTGCAATGGACCCATACCAAATTTTACTCCTAAATGGATAAACCGGGCAAACTATTTTGGCAACTAGATTGGCTCCTAGATGCCCTGCCCCTCACATCCTAAAGATTAAGAAAGTAGATGGCTCATTTACGCAAAACCCTAAAGCAGTCCTGTCAGGAGTTTCATGCCTTCTTTCACCACCTATATATACATACGAATAATTCTAGCTAGAGAGATTTTGATCACTTTATTGCCCAACTCCCTATCCCAGCCCTCCTGGAGGAACACAGGGAGTTCTGGAGAAGGACATAATTGCCGACAAAGACCTGTCCACTATCAAGCAAGCCCTGGTGGCCTAAGCGCCCGGCATCGGTGGCTTCACTGTCATATATTACAAAAAATGTGCTGTTTTCCTGGTTCTTCCATTGAAACAATACTTTAATGCCATCCAAAAGGGAGCCTCCATAGACCCTGATTTTGACAGGGTATTTATAACCCTGATTCCTAAACCCCATAAAAACCAAGTAGTGTACAAACTATAGGCCAATTTCTTTGATAAACAATGATCTGAAGTTATTCACTAAAATACTTTATCTTTCTAGCCCGCTACATACACTCTGACCAAGTCAGGTTTCTGCCTCACAGACAGGAGGTGGATCATGTATGTCCAGTAGAGATGAGCGAAGTATTCAAAAATTTGATTCGACTGATTCGGCGAATTCGTGGACAATATTCGATTCGAGTCGAATATATTCGCTGTGAATTTAACTTAAAAAAGGGTGTTTCTAGGCTTCAGAGAGACTTAATATTAGTGCAGAACACTGTACCTTTAATTTAAATGCCCTTGGAGTCTGCTGGGGAAGAGAAATAATACTGTCAGTCAGTATGACATGCAGATGAGTGCCGTCGATCTTAGAATCATCGCACACTTCACTCATTTTGGCCAGTCACGGGGCCAAAACCAGTGTTTGGAGCCACAGTGTGGCGGTGGAGGCAGCAGCAATGGGAGGCCATACAGCAACCTTGACAAAATGGAAACCAGCAGGAGTGTGAGGAGACCTCAAAGTGGCACATGGCAGAGTGGGAGCAATGGGAGGCGGTACAGGGACCCATGTCACACTGTGGACCCAGCAGCAGCGTGACCAGGCGGTACGGGGGCCCATGGCAGATTACAGGTCTGGCAGCAGCAATGGGAGGCCCGTAATCTGTCAGCACCCTATGACAAAATGGAACCCACCAGCAGTGTGAGGAGACCTGAAAGTGGCACATGGCAGAGTGTGGCGATGGAGACAGCAGCAATGGGAGGCCGTACAGGGACCCATGAGAGACTCTGGACCTGGCAGCAGCATGAGGAGGCGGTATAGGGGCCCATGGCAGATTACGGGCCTGGCAGCAGCTATAGGAGGCCCGTAATCTGCCAGCACCCTATGTCAAAAAATTCAACACACCAGCAGTGTGAGGAGACCTGAAAGTGGCACATGGCAGAGTGTGGCGATGGAGACAGCAGCAATGGGAGGCCGTACAGGGACCCATGACAGACTCTGGACTTGGCAGCAGCATGAGGAGGCGGTATATAGGGGCCCATGGCAGATTAGGGGCCTGGCAGCAGCTATGGGAGGCCCGTAATCTGCCAGCACCCTATGTCAAAAAATTCAACACACCAGCAGTGTGTGAGGAGACCTGAAAGTGGCACATGGCAGAGTGTGGCGATGGAGACAGCAGCAATGGGAGGCCGTACAGGGACCCATGAGAGACTCTGGACCTGGCAGCAGCATGAACAGGCAGTATATAGGGGCCTATGGCAGATTAGGGGCCTGGCAGCAGCTATGGGAGGCCCGTAATCTGCCAGCACCCTATGTCAAAAAATTCAACACACCAGCAGTGTGAGGAGACCTGAAAGTGGCACATGGCATGAGAGACTGTGGACCTGGCAGCAGCATGAGGAGGCGGTATAGGGGCCCATGGCAGATTAGGGGCCTGGCAGCAGCTATGGGAGGCCCGTAATCTGCCAGCACCCTATGTCAAAAAATGCAACACACCAGCAGTGTGTGAGGAGATCTGAAAGTGGCACATGGCAGAGTGTGGCGATGGAGACAGCAGCAATGGGAGGCCGTACAGGGACCCATGACAGACTCTGGACCTGGCAGCAGCATGAGGAGGCGGTACAGGGGCCCATGGCAGATTAAGGCCTGGCAGCAGCAATGGGATGCCCGTAATCTGCCAGCACCCTATGACAAAATGGAAACCTGGGCTGGGGCAGGCAGAACCCGCCGTATCTTTATCACGGTTTTCCCAGGCCACCCGAATGGCGACGCTGCATATGCTGATGCAACGCTGTAGTCCCAACATGGGCCCCCTGGCCACGCTTGACTTTTCTGGCCACATAGTCGACATACGTTTACTTCCTCGGGCGGCTTGACGAAAAATTGCCACACCGCCGAGTAGGAAACTTTGCCCCCGCTACTCCTCACTGGCTGACTGCTACTTCCTCCGTGCACACCGGCACCACTACTGGCCGTGGTGGTAGGCTGCAGTGGAGCTGGTGCTCTACTTCGTGGCCGTTTGCCTCCACTGACACTGCTGCGACCCTGCTGCCTCCTGGCAGCAGCAATGGGGGGCCGTACAGGGACCCATGACACACTCTGGACCTGGCAGCAGCATGAAGAGGCGGTACAGGGGCCCATGGCAGATTACGGGCCTGGCAGCAGCAATGGGAGGCCCGTAATCTGCCAGCACCCTATGACAAAAAATGGAACACACCAGCAGTGTGAGGAGACCTGAAAGTGGCACATAGCAGAGTGTGGCGATAGTGGCACATGCCTGCAGAGTGTGGCGATGGAGACAGCAGCAATGGGAGAGGCCGTACAGGGACCCATGACAGATCTGGGACTTGCAGCAGCAGCTGAGGAGGCGGTATATAGGGGCCTCATGGCAGATTAGGGCCTGGCAGCAGCAATGGGAGGACCCGTAATCTGCCACAGCACCCTTTGTCAAAAAATTCAACACACCAGCAGTGTGTGAGGAGACCTGAAAGTTGGCACATGGCATGAGTGTGTGGCGATTGGAGACTGTTCGCAGCAATGGGAGGCCGTACAGGGACCCATGAGTGACTTCCACGCTTGGACCTGGTAGCAGCATGAGGAGGCGGTATATAGGGGCTATGGCAGATTAGGGGCCTGGCAGCAGCTATAGGAGGCCCGTAAATCTGCCATGCACCCTATGGTCAAAAAATTCTAACACACCAGCAGTGTGAGGAGACCTGAAAGTGGCACATGGCAGAGAGTGTTGTGGCGAGTTGGAGACAGCAGCAATGGGAGGCCGTACAGGGAACCCATGACAGACTCTGGACCTGGCAGCAGCATGAGGAGGCGGTATAATAGGGGCCCATGGCAGATTAGGGGCCTGGCAGCAGCTATGGGAGGCCCGTAATCTGCCCAGCACCCTATGTCAAAAAATTCAACACACCAGCATGTCCGTGAGGAGACCTGAAAGTGGCAAATGGCAGAGTGTGGCGATGGAGACTGCAGCAATGGGAGGCCGTACAGGGACCCATGACAGACTCCTAGGACACTGGCAGCAGCATGAGGAGGCGGTATATAGGGGGCCCATGGCAGATTAGGGGCCTGGTAGCAGCTATGGGAGGGCCCGTAATCTGCCAGCAAAACACCTATGTCAAAAAATTACAACACACCCACGCAGTGTGTGAGGAAGACCTGAAAGTGGCAGCATGGCAGAGTGTGGCGATGGAGACAGCAGCAATGGGAGGGCCGTACAGGGACCCGATGACAGACTCTGGACCTGGCAGCTGCATGAGGAGGCGGTATATAGGGGCCCATGGCAAGATTAGGGGCCTGGCAGCGAGCCTTCTATGGGAGGCCCGTAATCTGCCAGCACCCTATGTCAAAAAATTCAACAACACCAGCAGTGTGAGAGACCTGAATAGTGGCACATGGCATGAGAGATTGTGGACCTGGCAGCAGCATGAGGAGGCGGTATAGGGGCCTATGGGCAGATTAGGGGCCTGGACAGCAGCTATGGGAGGCCCGTAATATCTGGCCAGCACCCTATGGTCAAAAACGCGATTCAACACACATCAGCAGTGTGTGAGGAAGACCTGAAAGTGACACATGGCAGAGTGTGGCGATGGAGACAACCCACGACTGTTTTTGCTCGCTGCAAAGCTAGCCACCCTCTTCTCCTGATGATGCGGAAGCAATAGCCTGATGACGACGAGGCTACCAAGTGCGATCAGCCTCATCATCTCAATTAGGGTCTCCGCCTCACTAATCTATATCCCCTCGGCTCTGCGTGTGGGTCCAGGAGACCAGACCTGTCCTCCTACAAAAAACCGGCTAACCGAGGCCACTCTCCTCGCCACTAACTTCTTCGACCTGGCTGCTGAAGAGGCGGATGTCTCCCCCCGTTCCTGACCGCCCTCTGTTAGCTCTTCCTCACTGTACTGGGATGACACCGGGAGCACTAGCCTCTGTCTGTAGACGAAATAGTGCTGCCTCGACCCTTCCTCTGCTGCCACGTCTGCTCACTCCTAAAACATTGCCTCCTCTGCCACTTCATCTGCATGTTGTATGACCATACTCTTTAATTAAACGATTCTGTGTCCCTGAGTAACAATTCTGTGTCCGCTGAGTAACGTTCTGTGGCCCTAAGTAAACAGTTCTGTGGCCCTAAGTAAAACAGTTCTGTGGCCCTAAGTAACAGTTCTGTGTCTGTCCCTGAGTAACAATTCTGTGTCCCTCAGTAAACAATTCTGGGTCCCTGCAGTAACCATTCTGTGTCCCCTCAAGTAACAATTCTGTGTCCCTAAGTAACAGTTCTGTGGCCTAAGTAAACAGTTCTGTGGCCCTAAGTAACAGTTCTGTGGCCCTCAGTAACAATTCTGTGTCTTCCCTGAGTAACAATTCTGGTGTCCCTCAGTAACAATTCTGTGTCCCTCAGTAACAATCTGTGGTCCGTGAGTAATGTTTCTGTGGCCCTAAGTAACAGTTCAGTGGCCATAAGTAACAGTTCTGTGGCCCTCAGTAACATTTTGTGTCTGTGTCATGTCCCTAGAGTAACGAATTCTGTGTTGGGCCCTCAGTCAACAATTCTGTGTCCCTCAGTAACAATTCTGTGTCCCTGAGTCTAACAATTCTGTGTCTCCCTGGAGTAACAATTCTGTGGCCTCAGTAACAATTCTGTGGCCCTGAGTACCAATTCTGTGTCTGTCCCCCTGAGTTAAGAATTCTGTGTCTGTCCCTGAGTAACGTTTCTGTGGCCCTAAGTAAGTACGGTTCTGTAGGCCCTCAGTAACAATTCTGTGTCCCTGAGTAACAATTCTGTGTCTGTCCCTGAGTAACAATTCTGTTGTACCCTAAGTAACGGTAGTTCTGTGGCCTCAGTAATCAATTCTGTGTCCCTCAGTAACAATTCTGTGTCCCTCAGTAACAATTCTGTGGCTTTCCTACTAGTAACAGTTACTGTGTCTGCTCCCTGAGTAACGGTTTCCCTGTGTCAACCTAAGTAACGGTTCTGTGGCCATCAGTAACAATGTGCTGTGTCCTCAACAATTCTGTGTGTCCCTAGAGTATACAATTCTGTGTCTGTCCCTGCAGTTAAAACAAGTTATCTGTGTACATGAGTAACAATTCTCGTGTTATCGTGACGCTAAGTAACAATTTCTGTGGCCCTATGTAAGTAACGGTTCGGATGGCACCTATGTCTGTATACAATTGTCTGTGTTCCCATGAGTTACAATTGTCTGTGTTCTGTCCCCCGCACGGCGCCATAACAATCTCTGTGGCCCTATAGTAACGGTTCTGTGGCTCACTCAGTAACAATTTTTGGTCCTGTGTAATAATACTGTCAGTCCTGTCCCTGACGTCAACACGATTCTGTGGTCTAGAAGTCAAAGACGTGTCTGTAGGCGTTACAGTAAAATATTCTGATGGCCCTAAGTAGACATTTATCTGGCCCTTAAGTAAAACGGTTCTGTGGCGCGTCTCAGTTACACATTTCTTGTTCGTCCCTGCAGTAAACTCAATTACTGTAGTCTGTCCTGTGGAGCGGAACAATTCTGTGAAGCTGTCTGTGTAAAGTAACGGTTCTGTGACGATCGCCTCTCTCTAACAAGTAAGACAATTTATTCCGTTGTGTCCATCTGAATTTAACAATGCTGTGTATGTGTGCCATTAGATATCGGTTATGATACTAGTGGCCCCCAAGTTAACGAGTTATCCTGTTGTCCCTCAGTAACAAAGTTCTGTGTCTGTCCCTGAGTAACAATTCTGTGGCCACTGAGTAACGGATTCATGTGGCCTCAAGTAACAAGTCTGAGTCCTGAGTCAACTTTATGGGGCACCTCACAGTAACAGGTTCTAGGTGGCCCTCCAAGTAATCAATTCTGTGTCCCTGGAGTAACAATTCTGTGTCTGTTTGCTGCAGTAGAAGACAATTCCCTGTGTGACCCTAAGTAATGACGTTCTGTGGGCCTACAACCTACCAGATAACAATTCTGTGTTTCCCTGAGATAGTACCTCATTCTGGTGTCTGATTAAGCGGAGTAGTACAGAATTTGCATGTGGCTCCCTACAGGAACGGATATCTGTGGTGGGCCTCAGTAAGACATATATTCTGTGTCCCTAGAAGTAAGTCCATTTTTGTAGAGAGACTGTGCAGAGTAGAACAATACTAGTGCGCCCAGAAGGTAACTCCTTTAGTTACGGTAGAGCCTCTCCAGTTACTAGTATTTTGTGTCCGTGAGTGACTAACAATGTTGGTGTCTGTAGATCGAGTAACAAATCTGTATACGCTGCAGCCACTCAGGTTAACACCCGGTCTTGGGGCCCCTCAGTAACAATTCGGTGTCCCCTCAGTAAAAATTTTGTTAGTCCCTGAGAAACAATTCTGTCCCCCCAAAAGAAAGGGTTTTCGGGTGGCCCTCGTAACAATTCTGTGCCCCGAGTAACGTTTCTGGGGCCCCTAAGTAACGGTTTTCTTGGTGGCCCTAAATAACAATTCTGTGCCCCTGAGTAAAAAAATTCTGTGTTGCCCCTTTTTTAACAATTCGGGGTGGCCCAAAGAAACCCCTTTTTGGGCCCTAAGTAACAATTCTGTGGCCCTCAGTAACCAATTCGGGTTCGGGTTCCCAAAAGGGGTAAAAATTCTGTGTCCCTAACTAAACTTTTCCCTTTTTCCCAAAGAAAACCTTTGTGGCCCCCATTTAACAAAATTTGTGCCCCAATTTAACTTTTTCCCTGTGGCCCTAAGGGAAACAATTTTTTGTTTTCCCTGAAAACAATTTTGGGGCCCCAAAAGAAACGGTTTCTTGGCCCTCAGAAAACAATTCTGTGCCCCTGAGGTAAAAATTTTCCTGGGGGCCCAAAGGGTAAGGGTTTTGGGGCCCCCAAAATTTAAAAATTTCTGTGTCCCTGAGATAACCAATTCGGGTGTCTGCCCCTGGGGGAACAATTCGGTGGCCCTAAGTTAAGGGTTTTGGTGGCCCCCAGTAAAAATTTTCTTTGCCCTTTGAGTAAAAATTTGTGGCCCAAAGAAACAGTTCTGTGGCCCTAAAGTAAAAAATTCTGGGGCCCCCCAGTAAAAATTTGTTTTCTGTCCCGGTAAAAAAATTTTTGGGCCCAAAAACCTAACGTTTCGGGTGCCCCAAAGGGTAACAGTTCTGTGGGCCCCTAAAGTAAAAATTTTTCTGCTTGGCCGGGGGAGAAAAACATTCTGTGGCCCTACAAACGTTTTTGGGGCCCCTAAGTAAAAAATTCTTGGCACTCAGTAAAAAT